AAATTAAACAAGAGGGCCATGATGGCCCTAAGGTCGCTCACCTGTATGTAGGCCCCGGAGGGGGGCCAGTTTAAACCCCAGGGCTTTTATTTGAACAAACTTGGAAGACACCTATAAGAAGACGTTTCATGATGTACACACTTATAATGAAAAACAATGATCTGCCCTCCCCTACCCCGGCAGGGCCAATTATAACCAAGGGCTTTTATTTGAACAAACTTTATTTAACATATTTATATGTTTTTTACGTTTTTCCTATACACATATAAGGGAAATCAATGACCCCCCAGGGCAGGGCCATTTTTGACCCCAGGGCTTTTATTTGAACAAACTTTGTAGACACTCACTAGAAGATGTTTCATGCTTAATATCTTAACTCTAGCTATTTAGGTTTTTTCAAAGAATACTTTTTAAGTTTTTGATATACACATATATAAGGAAAATCAATGACCCCCGGGGCGGGGCCAATTTTGACCCCAGGGCTCTTATTTGAACAAACTTGGTAGACACCCATTAGAACATGTTTCATGCTAAATATCTTAGCTCTAGCTCTTTGAGTTCTTTAAAAGAATATTTTTTAAGTTTTTACTATATACATGTACATATAGGGAAAATCAATGATCCACTGGGGCGGGGCCAATTTTGAACCCAAGGCTTTTATTTGAACAAACTTGGTAGACAACAATTAGAACATGTTTCATGCTAAATATCTTAGCTCTAGCTCTTTGAGTTCTTTAAAAGAAGATTTTTTAAGTTTTTACTATATACATATAGGGAAAATCAATGACCCCCTGGGGCGGGGCCAATTTTGACCCCAGGGCTTTTATCTTTGAGTTCTTTAAAAGAAGATTTTTTAAGTTTTTACTATATACATATAGGGAAAATCAATGACCCCCTGGGGCGGAGCCAATTTTGACCCCAGGGCTTTTATTTGAACAAACTTGGTAGACACCCATTAGAACATGTTTCATGCTAATTATCTTAGCTCTAGCTCTTTTGGTTCTTTAAAAGAAGATTTTTTAAGTTTTTACTATATACATATAGGGAAAATCAATGACCCCCTGGGGCGGGGCAATTTTGACCCCAGGGCTTTTATTTGAACAAACTTGGTAGACAACCATTAGAACATGTTTCATGCTAAATATCTTAGCTCTAGCTCCATGAGTTCTTTAAAAGAAGATTTTTAAATTTTTACTATATGCATACAGGGAAAATCAATGACCCCCTGGGACGAGGCCAATTTTGACCCCAGGGCTTTTATTTGAACAAACTTGGTAGACACTCATTAGAAGATGTTTCATGCTAAATATCTTAGCTCTAGCTCTTTGGGTTCTTTAAAAAAAAGATTTTTTAAGTTTTTACTATATGCATATAGGGAAAATCAATGACACCCTGGGGCGGGGCCAATTTTGACCCCAGGGCTTTTATTTGAACAATCTTGGTAGACACTCACTAGAAGATGTTTCATGCCAAATATCTAAGCTCTAGCTCTTCGGGTTCTTTAAAAGGAGAATTTATAAGTTTTTACTATATGCATATAGGGAAAATCAATGACCCCCTGGGGCGGGGCCAATTTTGACCCCAGGGCTTTTATTTGAACAAACTTGGTAGACACCCATTAGAACATGTTTCATGCTTAATATCTTAGCTCTAGCTCTTTGAGTTCTTTAAAAGAAGATTTTTTAAGTTTTTACTATATACATGTACATATAGGGAAAATCAATGACCCCCTGGGGCGGGGCCAATTTTGACCCCAGGGCTTTTATTTGAACAATCTTGACACTCACTAGAAAATGTTTCATGCCAAATATCTAAGCTCTAGTTTTTTCTTTTGGTTGCCATGGCAACCAGAGTTCTGCATGGAATTAAATTCTTTGAACAATTTTTAAAGGTGACCACCAAAGGAATATTCCTGTGAAGTTTGGATGAAATTGGCTTAGTGGTTTATGAGGAGATGTCATTTAAAGTAAAAGTTTACGGACGGACGACGGACGGACGGACGACGGCCGGACGAAAAGCGATCACAAAAGCTCACCCTGTCACTTTGTGACAGGTGAGCTAAAAATAATTCAAAATTCAATTTTAATGCGCTAAAAGAAACATATATTTTGTCTTTTATATATGTGAGTTTTTGGTTTTTAGATACCTATTTTTATATAGTATAAATATTTATATTTGCATTGTCAAAATTTGGTACATGTATTTTTTAAAAGTTTTTAAATTGGCTTTGACTTAAATTGGCCGAAATGACACTGACTGTCAATAGTAAATCTCAGTAACAATGAAAATATTGATGTTACCAAACCATGAACACCATAACATGAATTAGTACTTTGTCAGTCAAACAATTGAGAAATTACCAATTAGCAAAATAGTCAACATATTATCGATAATAATTTAATGTATACCTAAATGTCAAACATAAATAGAAATTTTGACATCAAACAAAAAAAATTTGTTTGCATCCTGTTGAATATGCTGCTGAATATTAGGGTCATATAAATTGGTATCACAATTTTTGTGTTAAAGCATTGTGTAGTAGTGTTCATTTACTAGACTAACTCTTACCCTATTGATTTTCTTAAATGGACTTGTCCAGCTTCCATTTTGGGAGCAGTCCATTATCAATTTAGGAGATACCGGTATGAAGATGAAAAGTAAGTTAACAATATAGAGCCTGGTCAGATGGCACGGATATGCAGGCTGGCATGGCTCTATACTGGTGACATAACCTGTCACCTTCAATAAAACATTTCTCTTTCCTAAAATGTAAAAGCCATTGATACAATGGAATGCATGAACTCGATTTTTACAACTATCTACATACATGGAACAAATGGACAGCGGCTTAAAATATACAACTTGATTCGGGTCTTTTCTCAATTTTTCAGCAACAGAGATCAATTATAATACAACCAAATCTTGATCAACCATATCAATACAAAATTTTATGTTTTAAAAAGATCTTATACTCTTGGCAGTCAATTAAACTATAGTTCAAAGATACAATATGGATCATCAATTCTAGTTCAAATATACAATACAGATTATCAATTCTAGTTCAATGTTACAATATGGGTTATCAAATCTAGTTCAATATGTAATATGAAAATTCAACTTTATTAATTCATTCCTTAAATTATACTATGTGAATAGCCACTAATCTATACAATTTCAATCTACAAATATTTATATAAAACAAAACTGCATATTCCCAGAAAAAAACTTTTTTTATTTCAATTCACGGAAGGAGAACATGGCACTCCTATTACCTTGTTAAAACACTTCTATGCTATAGGCCACTAGGCCCTTTTAATGAAATCAGGACCTAATAATGAAATCGCATCTAGTATATACAAACAAAAACATGAAACATGACTAAAACATTAAAACCAAAATGATACAATATTGCACAAAAATGTCAACACACTCTGTTTACAAATGTACATACAATGAAATAAATATACTTTGAAGTATTTCCATGGTAACAAACTATTCAAAAAGTAAAGTATGACAATAAGATTGATGGAGAGTTACATGTTTAGTCTCCACTTCATGATACTGCGATATGAAACAGAACTCTTCATTATATCTTTATTAGATTTATAACAAAGGGTTAACTTTTAGTCCTTTACATACCAACATACGGGTAAGAAGCTTGACTTATTTGAAAGAATAGACCCATCTGTTATCAAAGTTCAAGGTCATGCTCTCTCAGATTTTTCTGTTAAGTTCTAAATGCAATATGACTTGTTTTGGTGCAGATCTATATCTGTAGCCTACCTTGTCAAAAACTATCTACATAGAAAACACAGTGTATATGTAGCCCTGTGCAAACCAGGCATAACGCAGCTATTGACTGCGACATAAGTAGAATATCTTAACCTAAAATTCTGATACATAAAATAATTTAATCATGTACTAGTTAAGTTTTGTTGTTTTTTTGGGGGGGTTTTATGTCACACGACACAGTATAGGTTATTTGGCAACGTTCAAGCTTTACTGGTGGAGGAAGACCTCAGGTGCCCTTCCGTGCATCACTAGTTAGGTGATTTCTTTCTGCTAAGATTGTTTATACAAGAACATATGTCTAAAACTATGGCTTGATCACTGATCTCAGTTTATAATGGTCACTTTGACCTTTGACCTAAAATACTATGAAAAGGTCAAACTTGTGAGCATCTGTTAAATTTCATACTTTGCAGTGAGGCATATAACATATCAGTTTATGTATTTTCCAACGAGAGCATTTTATTACAAAACTATATCTGGAAATGATAAGGAATGTAACCCATCTACAAGCACAGATAAATAAAATAAAATCAAACAAAATCAACACAGTCTTTTTACTAAATCTCCTATGGCCTTAGCTCAATTACAACATCAGTTAACCCTTATCCCGCTAAATTTGTGTAATGGATTTGCCCTGATTTGAATTTGGAACAGTCCATTCAAAATTTCAAGGATTTTAATATTTCAATACAGAAATACAAAAATTCAGCTACCAAAAGTAAAGAGCCAGTCAGACTTGAATTGCAGGCGGGCCTGGCTCTATACTCGTGGGGAAAGGCTAATCACTTTTGGTTCCAGCGGGATAAGGGTTAACTGATTTCTTTTAATAAATTAAATCTAATTTAACAAATGATAATAGCACTAAATCAACTGCAACCGCTATCTTTCTATATTTTCTACTTTTCTATCAAAATAAAATACAATTTCATGATCTGTGATATTTCTAATACATAATATACATATCTCAAACAAATACACATAACAAGTGTAAACCATCAATTAAAAAATAATAATCTTCAATAGCATCAAAAATCATTCTTTAGTCTATTTCATCACCTAAGAGTGAAACAGTGCCATTCTTTCCTTCAACTATTTCTGAGATTTTTATTTAGGTGACAATATTCACATTTCATTTTTTACATTAAAAACTGAAAATTAATCACTTTCGTGTAAAGAAATAAACGAAACAACCCTATACAAACAATAACCCTATACAAACAATAAAGTACATATTCTTTAATAAATACCACACTTTGGCCGCATGTATCATTAAATGAGCCAGGCCATGACAAAACCAACATAATGGGTTTGCGACCAGCATGGATCCAGACCAGCCTGCGCTACCGCGCAGGGTTTATAAGCAAACAGCATGGATCCTGATCAGACTGCGCGGAAGCGCAGGCTGGTCTGGATCCATGCTGGTCGCAAACCCATTATGTTGGTTTTGTCATGGCGCAGCTCAAATAAGTATGTATATCACAGGTCATTTCACACGAGTATAATCATCAAATTTCAAACACAAGTCATGTACATTGTATACACATGTATGTATATATTATACATGTAATTATATATACATGTAGTTTATATTCAAATCATTAGCAGCACTTCCTCATTCTGCTCCTTTGACTGGTCGCTACATAAAATACAAATCATACCCCCAAATAGCATAATGGGCTTGACCTATTTTCAACTTGGAACGGTTCATTTTTTTACTTAAGAGATGTCAGTATTAAAAGTACTAAAATGAAGCATCAATCACATAAACCTATACAAGGTACAATACTGGCAAATGATGACAGAGGATCTTACGTACTCTGTCCGTGAATTTAGAGACGATACTCCCCTCTGAGATCAAGCAGTTAATACAAATTTTAAAGAAAAGTTTTCAATAAAATTCAGAATACTTTATCTCTTAATTGAGCTATCCGTTTTTGTTTTTTTTCTCTTAATCTTTGTACAGACTCATAAAAGACGAAATTTCAGAAATTTTCCAGTCTATCAAAATGATCCATTACAACATTCAGGGGGGTTAAACTACAAATGAGCCGCGTCATGACAAAACCAACATAGTGCGTTTGCGACCAGCATGGATCCAGACCAGCCTGCGCATCTGCCCAGTCTGATCAGGATCCATGCTGTTCGCTATCAGTTTCTCTACTTGTAATAGGGTTGGTAAGCGAACAGCATGGATCCTGATCAGACTGCACGGATGCGCAGGCTGGTCTGGATCCATGCTGGTCGCAAACGCATTATGTTGGTTTTGTCATGAAGCGGCTCAAATCTTTATTTGCCATTAAAAATAATCAAGTTAAATGTTTATATCCAATACTGATTCAATTGAAATACAGTAATACAAAATACTCAACGAGTATTTCTATTAGGCCATTTTCATACAAATCAAATGTAAATATCAGTACATATATCTTGTTATATATATCGTAACCTTAGTGTAGTACTGGGTTAAGTCCTTCTAAATTTAATAGGAGTTAACCAGTTATTGCACTAAGGCGACGATATATTTGTTAACACTTGCTGCAAAATACTTAAATATGGTTATTTTTTTAATATACCTTATCTAACCTTTATTCTATACGCTTAACCTGCTAAATTTGTGAAATGGTTTTGTCCTGCTTTGAATTTGAAACAGCCCAATCAAAGTTAAAGGCACATTATGCCTCAGAAATACCCATTTCTTAAATTCTTTAGAAATGTCAAACATGTGTTTAATAATGTTTTGATAATGGATAAAGAGCATGTAAGATGTTTAAGAGCTGACGAAAATATCGCTGAACATGTAGCTATGTGTTGTAAAGGGAGTACAATGTAAACAAAGTAGTATTTTGGAACTTCCATACAAAAATTCTTATTCACTATATAATTATACCAATTGCCAACATAACAAAATCAGCAAAAGATATTTTATGTATATGGCAAATGAATATTTTTTGGAAACTGTTAAAAGATAAACCAAAAATAAAAACAGTTTATGAGAAATAAAAATGATAGCATTTCAGACGCATAAAGGGCCTAAAAAGGATTTCAAAATCAAAATTCAGAGCTACATTGAGCTACAAACAGTATAGCGCCCAGCCAGACTACATGGTTGTGCAGGCTGACCTGGCTCTATACTGGTCGCAAAAGCTTAGCATTTTCAGTTCCAGCAGGTTAAAGGTTAAATACAAGAATTTGCATAATGTCTCTTCATAAATGATGAACAGAACAATTTGACATACAAAAAAATAAGTTAATAACAAATTCACCAATTCATTTTCGATTCTGGAAGTATGAAGCTCTGTGTATTTTCGTTTTGCAGTAAATCTTCATAAAGACATCTGTCATCTCGATATCAGCCAATCAAAATCTTTCATTTTCAGTTGATACCAACAACAACTCACACACTTTTCTATGCCGTATTTTCAAACAGATCACTAATAAATCACTAAATACTATCATCAGGACTTTTTACTTAAATGACTTGGAGCGTCCGCAAACATGTACTTAAGTTTAAAAGCCTCGGCCAGCAGTTCACTTATTTCATTGTCATGCCAGTGATGTGTGGGCAAATTCTGTAGGAACATTAGTATACCCTGAAATTATAATTAAAACAATTTCATGTTGAATTAAATGTATATGTAGTAAAATAAAATAAATGATATTAATAATTGTCAGTTTGAATAGTGTCAGAAATTCTTTCTAGTGAGACAGCTATCCAGTGTAATGAAAGATGTTGATTTTCTACTTAGAAGGTAAGGTTGGAAAATTGCTACATATTGTTTACATGTGTTGGTGTGACTTAAAACTTGACAAACAAATAATACAAAATAATAATAGTAAGCTTAATGTAGAATATGCTATTTTTTCTGTCATATATGCTTGGTTTCTAAGAAAACAAAATAAAGAAATATATGTAAAATCTAGTCATATAAAATCAAGTTTATTTTATAACCCTTAAAATGTCCAGTTATTTTAACTTAGGTTACAAATTATTAAATTGACAGCAGTCCAAAGTAGGTCTTATTTTCTTTAAAAGAGAACATAGTCAAAACAGTAAATGAACACGGCATTTTACCTGGAAATCTTTCTCTCGTAACAAATCTTTGGAAAACCTTGTCAGGAAGGCAGCACACACATACAGGTGAAAGTCTGCAAACCCATTATGTTCACACTGTAATAAAATGTATACATAATTTCATTGATCAGTCAACAAAATTTCTAGTATATTTTCAAGGTCAAATTAGCTACTGAGTAAGGTTTTCAAACTTTCCGTCCAAAATCATTACTAGAGTTCCATCCCAAAATAAACTTGTTTTTCTACAAGTATCATACAGCATTTCTACATTAACAGGGCTGTATTAACCTTATAATGGAATGCGGGAGAAGGGGGGAGGGACAGTCATATAGAATATTGTTTCAAATTGAAGAAAAGAATTGTGTCTGTCAACAACAATACTGGCAGTGTAAGTACTACATATTCTACCTAGCAAAAAGTCCAATTCAATAGCAAACAGATTTTCACTCAAGTACTATCACTTACTAAGAAATTTAATTTTATTTCAAATCCTTGACCTCTCAAGATATGCAGCATGCCTTATCCAACTGACAGGGAGTCTGACCCTATATTATATTTAGCATATTATCAAGGGTCTCCTTCTTCAGGCAGCTAAAAGGACTTAATAAAAAAAAGTTAAATAGTTGCAGCTTACCAAGTAGGTATCCCAGAGTCTGACGCTACATCTAAGAGGAATTTCCCTCATTAACAAATTGTTCATCCATCTAAATGCAAATTGTAGGTACTCAACACTCTCCTCCTCTAAATGGGCATGTAACTGGGCTGTGGATAAATGAAATAATACATTTAGGCATGTAACTGGGCTGTTGATAAATGAAATTATACATTTAGGCATGTAACTCATAATACTGGGCTGTGGATAAAGTTAAATTAAACATTTAGGCATGTAACTGGGCTATGGATAAAGTGAAATTAAACATTTAGGCATGCAACTGGGCTGTAGATAAAATTAAAAACGAATTTTATATTTAGGCATGTAACTGGGCTGTGGATAAAGTTAAAATGAAATTTAACATTTAGGCATGTATCTCGGCTGTTATCATTTTTTTCCCTTCAAATTGCAAATGGAGCTGCTAAGGTAAAGATTCAGCCTTTCTTATAATGTTTTGCCTTACATCATAAATGTTTCTACCAAGATTTAAGTTACTTATATATAGCTCTGATTTCTTTAAACATGTTTGACTATCCCCCTTTTAACCAATCGAATTTTAGCAATAATAATAGCTTGCTTATTATAGTTATAACACCAGTTTACAGCCAGACCAGTGGGTACATAATCTACACAATTTCGGCTAAATTTTGACATTTCCAGTAAGTACAATGTACATAAAAGCATCACATATACAAACGTTTTTGACTCAAATCAGGACAATTCCATTGAACAAACTGATACATTTAAGTCTGCTTGTAATGATATTCAAGGTACTGCCAAATTTATATCATTATTTCAAGATATTCGTCAACTTAGTGCAATAACTGAATAACTCCTATGAAATTTATAAGAACTCAACCCATTACTGCACTAAGGTGAATTATTGTCATATCTGAGGGGCAATCAATTTGAAAACCAGACCTTTTTCCCGTAATACTTCAAGCATGCCATGTTACTGTGTATTGTAACCGCCTATTGTACGGCTATCAGTCATTGGTCTATTTCACGATATTGACCAATGACAATAAGCAACAAAATAGGAATTCCTCAATATTAGTCTCCCTTGCCGCTGAAAAAATTATCAGACTGTAGGACAGACTTTAGCTTAAAAATCGTCGAACCGTGTGAAAATATGTTGGTCATATCCGTCGGTCAGACTGCTTTCAGTAGTTTGGAGGTTACTGTTATAGTTAAATACCTACCATCAATTCTCTTCACAAGTTCCCTGAGAGCATTAACTTTAGTTTGTATGCCTGGTTGAGCGAATGTGTAATTATCCTGAATACCGTCTAGAAGTTTCGATGTACACCAGAAAGTATCAGCTTCTATTACGTTTAATGTCTCCTCCGGTAATTCTGTAAGATTTATATTTTCTACTTCTATATCTGAAATAGGAAAACCAACTGGAAAATATTGATGATGACTTTAATAATAGAATCAGTTATATATTATCGCTATTATTTTCCTAGTACTACTTTCATGTGCAAAAACAGTAAATTCCTTAATAAACGCCCCTTGGGGAGGCAGGGGTACAATTTCAATAGGGGGGTGGCCTAAATTTAGTATAAGAAAAAATGTTTAATAATAATATTGTTAAAATAATAGGAATGTTTAACTTTATTTTATTTTTTGTGTAATTTTTGTCAATTTTTACATACTGAAAGCAGTAGCTGTGTAAAAATGTGTGCTTATTTCCTTGGATTTATAATCAACTGCTATCATCTTCGAAACTCATTTTTCAATATTTAGCAATAGCAAATCACTTTGACGTTTCAGCAGATTAAGGGTTAAATTTTAGAATCACAAACAACTATTAACTTACCATTCTCTATAAACTCGGAAAGAAATACAACAAAGAAAGGAGTAACTAGATCATTGATGCCTTGTACATATCCGCTGGCTGGATGACGTATTGCCCATATATATAATATTCGCTCAAATATCTGAAAAACAATAAAATTCATAGGAATTACTTTTAAATACACACAAATGGCACAGTTTTACCAATATAATCTAGATAAAGTTTATATTTAAATAATTTTCAATTTATGCAATTTACCTAGTAGATTGTTACATACAATATAATACTCTCAGTTATTGATAATTCTAACACGACCCGCATTTTTCCCTATTGAACATAGAAGAACCGAAAGTGTGTGTTATTATGCAATAGAGTCACTGTTTGACGCTCTATATTTAGACATGTGACGTAATCATTATACATGTGACGTAACCACTATAAAATCCGACGCGCTGACAATAAGTATGGAAACAAATCAGGCGCAATTTTGCTTAATAGCAGGTACGGCAGCATTTTTTTGTTTATGTCGTGTTAGAATCGAAATAATATATCCAAATCAGTGATTTTATCGCTGGATAACATCACTGTTTGTCGTTCGGATGCGCATCATTATATCACTCGGGCTACGCCCTCGTGATATAATTCCTCGCATCCAAACTCCAAACAGTGATGTTATTGAGCGATAAAATCACAGTTTGGGATATATTATTTCTTAATCATAACACAACCCACCCCCTCTCCCCCACCCCCTTAAAAAAGTTCTGCAGTAATAAGAACAAAATTAAAACTTTGCATGCTAGAGTCAAGTTTTAATAATTTTAGATAAAACAAACGAAAACATGTTAATTAAGAAGTTGATATTTCTTATGAAAGAAGATTTTATTTATATGTTTTATTTAATATATATTTTATGTTACGATAAATACATATAGTAGAGGCTTTTTTACAACATTCTGAATTGATGCTAGATAAAAAGGTTTATAAAACTTCACAAGATTAACCATGATTCCATAAAAAGCAATCTTTAATTCTATATTATTTCAAACCCCATAATCTTCCTGATGCAAATGATTGCATCAATTTTCATCTGTACATTAACATAGACTGTTTTAACATTAATTTATATTATCTAAAATTTAATCTTTATCTTTACAAAATATAAAATCAACATGATAGTTTTAACATATCTACTTTAACTTAATTGTGATGAAAAATTGAAGCTTATTTGCACCAGATATATATTGTATATTTCCTAACAAGTAATGTTGCATGCATGAAATCTATGCTAAATAGTTATAAAACCATACTTAAAGTAACAGCATTATATAATGTTCCAGAACATTTTATTATGTTTACTTGTTATAGTCAGGTGTATTAAATAACAAGAGACATTCTATGTTGAGAATCGACCATTAGATAACAGAAACAACATAACTTACTATTTCAATAGATATAGCTTTACACCATGATAATTATCCATATTGCCATTACAATTTTAAAATATTTGCCATTACCAAAACATTGAAAAATAACATTTTATATAATTATAAAAAATAGCATGCAGATTACAAAAATAGACATAATTTTTATGCACACAATCATTAGACATATAAATATCCGTAAAACTATATTTTATGTATTATGCAGCATGCATTTAGGTCCCCAACTGTACTCTTTAACCTTTATTCTTCAAAATTTCTCCAATGGATTTGTCAAGTTTTCAGATTTGGAATTGCCCATTATCAATTTTGGGGATATCAAGATGAAAATTAAATTTTAAGTTGGTCAGCCAACAGAACAGAGCCTGGTCAGACTACAAGGACATACAGGCTGGCCTGGCTCTATACTGGTGACAAAAACTAACCACCTCAGGTTCCAAACGGATTAAATTAAAACGTAAAGCACAATGCAGGAAATTTCCCCTATCTGAATAATTCCTTTTAGCAAAGTTTATGTGGTTTTTTTGTTTCATGAAGTTTATGTGTTTTTTGGTTTCATTAATTTTTTTGAATCAAAATAATCATAAAATGGGCAAAGAAATCTTGTAGCCAAACTAATAACATTTCAGCTAATGACTCAATTGGATAATGGCAGAATGAGCCTTGAGTAAGCCTTGTAATGTTAGTTTCAATTATGTTTATAACAAGTACAACGAAAAGCAATTTCATCAAGAATTTACGAGCAAAAACAAACCATGCATATACACATGTTATGATGTATATACTGTATATACACATGTACAAGTAAGTAATCAAATGTCAAAACATACATATATACATACAGGGTCAACATACTTGTATGAGAACAATTTGTAAGCATACATAATGTATGTAAAAAGTCTACTTTATGACAGGTATGAAAGTCAATAAAGTGCATGCTTGTTACTTTTTATATATGTAGTACTTATGAAAAAATATATAGCTTTAATATAAAACAATGTATTTCTTTTGATCATTCCCAAAAGGTCTGCATTTTATTCATTATGTATAGTTCCTTGGTTTCAACTTTAGACAAGGTTATATAAGTTTTATAAGCAAACCTATACAATAATACAAACACTTTTTTCATATAATAAAAGGATTATTTAAGCAATGGTGTTTCAATTGAACTTATGTCATAGTATGCCTAAAAGGTTCAACTGATTCTAAGAAAATTTCACAATTTTAGGTAATTTTCAAAATTCAAAAGTAAATATCAAACTTATTTAAAAATGTAGGTGAAAAAAGCATATATTTGTATAATGGCATTCCTCATGCATCATAACATCATTGACTAAAACATATATTCCACATAATTTATGTTCAAACAGTGCTACAAAAAGATGGCAGCAAAGCACTACTTCATACTCACTTCCTGGATGCGTTTTTGTTGAAACAAATGAGCTAAAGATGTCATTCTTGGAACATCCTTCAAAATCTGCAAGAACATTACATTACATGATGCTCTGTTACAATGACTGTAGCCAAAATTTCAAATTTGTTTCATGAGATTTACACCGATAAAACAAGGGCATTGTAAATCTTCATACAAAAGTTTTTGCCATTAAAAAGCAAATCCAGGTCGTCTTATCAACGATCGTACGATTAAGGATATCTGAAAAGTTTGATAAAACACTGCCAATATCGTAGAATTGTACGATAAAAACAGTCGTCAATCGTTGATAAGACGGCCCCCTGGTCTTTTTGTTACACTGTACCAAGGTAGCAAGCTGCGTTTTTTTTGCATTGATTTAAGTGACAAGCTAAATACAATTACAGTGAAACCTTTGAAGAGAGGCCCTCTGTAGAACAATAACCTCTATACAACAACATAGTCATATCTGCCAAAACTTAAGATTTTACAATGTATTTAACCTCCGCTACAGCAACACCTCTCATCAACAACCATAACCTTTGTCTCCCTAAGGGTGTTGCAGTACAGAGGTTATACTGTATTTCAAATCGGAACAAGGGAGTTAATTCATGTTAACATTCATAAGCTGTTAGAACACATGTTCACAAATAAACATACCATAACATAACATAAATTACATATATATATATGAACATTTATTAGTCCTTTACTATTTCACTTATACTGCAAAGGAGATTTTTGAATATAATTCAAATAAATATTTTCTGAACAATAACATACATTATACCCAACAAATGTTAGCACAATTTATCTCCCTCTTACATTGTATTAAAACTGGCACAGTCATTTTTTTCTCCTGTATCTATGAATTCAAATGTGGTATGCCAACACTGCCCTTGTTTACCATGAAACAAATTTGATTCTTACTATACTAAAACAAACAAAAAAGTTCCACTTTTGATCTGAAAATACATATAAAGGTCTTATTTATATAAAAACAATAGGCCGATGTTGGTGTTAGCCTTGACCTAGTTACAGTGACCCTGTTAACTTGACCTTGAAGACCATGTTACTTTGACCTTGGAATAAGAAAAATGCCCTATATTTCTACTATACAAACAGTGAGAAAGAATTACAGTTTAAAACAACATAATATATTTACTTATATGTATCTTCAGATCAAAATTGGTCATGCACTCAAGCAGAAAATGATAATAAAGGAAAATAAATTAAAAAAAAACATTTAGAAAGGGCCCATAACCACTGGATTTTACATGCATTTGCTCCAACATATACAACTTACTTCTTGAACTAATAACTGTTGAAATATTGGTATTAATGGATTCATACGAGGTATGTCTATATGTATCTGGAAAAATATTTAACTGTTCAATCATAAATGTTCTGAAAATGAATCTATAAATAAATGGTATTATTATTAAATGTTTATGATGTATGAACAAATAATTCTTACCATACAAACAGTACTGAAAGATTAAAGAGTGGATGGGAATGAAAATGCTCAACATTAGACCCCAGCCCCCACCCCCCCCCAAAAAAAAAAAACTACGCGCACCTTAGTAGAAATATCAACCTTGAAACCCACACCAGTGAGAGGCCAGTGGTTCAAATTCTAATCAAGACTTTCTTAAAACTTTATTCTGAAAGATTGTGACCTCCTAAAAACATTTTTTTATTACTTAATGGTTAATAAACATGGCTACACACAGTATTTTTTCAGATAATTCAAAAAAGGGTAGTAAAACCGATGCATGTGAAGGAATTGTCATATTCTTGTCCAAAATAGTTAAAAGTGTTAAAGAATTCAGGAACAGGGTCTAAATGCAAACACGTTTCTTCAGTATAGGCTTATATTCTGTACATGTTAAACACAATTTACAGGGGAAAGAACTGTATTTGTTTTAATGATAAATTACCAACAATTCAAGCATTCAACAAGTGAAATTTCTCAACCTGATCACATAATACAAATGTATCATTATTGTGAATATAAAAATACTATCATTGCATGCTTCTGGTAAACATAGATTTAACATTTCATTCTAAAAATTCTTAAAAATAATTCTGTTTAAATTCAGGAATTTCATTTATTATTGACGATATTGATAATCAAATAAGTGCAAAATGAAACAATCATGTGGTTCCAAAGACATGACTCTAATCAGAGTTTTTGTTCAAACAGAAAATCATGTCTGCATACAAAAGCAAAATTAAATTCAGAATAGAATTAGATTACAATGAATTGCTATTAAAAAAATTAAAAAAATCTCTCTCAAAACCTGTCTTACCAATTTTCATCAACATGTTACTATATCCTTAAAATCGTTCTGTTTGGTCCATGTTAAGCAGGGACAGTATATATAATATGTGAGCTATTCTTATGATTTGTATCTCGAGAGTTAATAGTAAAAATGTTGTAAATGTATTCTAAAGTGACGCAGGGAGAGTGTGTAATATAACTTTACACAATCAACAAGAACTTTAACTAAAAAATTTTTTTTTAATCTCCATCAGACACTGACACCCAACAATCAACTGTTTTGTCAGTCTAAGGATAAACAGCAGAATGTATAGATAGACGGTTGGGCAATGGGCAAATCTATAGACCCTCAAACCCCTAGGTAACGACCTATTATGGTGGGCATAACTATGCTTACATACCTAAAATACCACTCCTTATTCTTTGAAATGTGAAGCTAAAAATTACAGATTTTCATTCTGATTAATTAAGATATCTATGAAAGCCATAGTAAGATTTTAACTATTTTTTACCTGTCTAAAGGTGTCTTGATGCATTTCATCATGTCTAGAGTCATAATATTGATCAATAAGGCTAAAATATTCCTGCCTCTTTCTCTCTAACATCTGGTCACGACGATCAAAATTTGTCGGTAAATACCCCTAAAACAACAAATAATAATATACATAACCATAAAATTAAGTGCAATTAGTTTATATAGAAGTTTTTCTATTTTGATTGTGTATGACAGAATTTCAGTTGCAATAACATGCATTTCTTGTCTCATTATATTTGAGACCGATTATGGAGATCTGTTTTCAAATCCATTCAAAGATTTTTAAGACAGAGATAAACTTTTATATCCAGAGACCAACAAAGCAAATACTTTACTTAGTTGCAAGTAATTTGTTTAAAATTTAAATACATAAATGATCCCATTACTGACAAAATATTTCAAATCACAGCATTCTAAAACTTTATCATAAGGAAAACCAAATGAAAATGTAAAAAGTCTTACAGATAATATTTTCCAACAAGTGGGTCGCACAGCTTTTGGTATGCCTGACCAACTCAGTTTTTGAAGCTCAACTGAAAGGTATAAAAATTAGACATATAATTTGAAGATAATTTTGCTTATTTTCCATGTACAATCCTTGAATGTATAATAATGCATAATATATGTACACATGTGCATTCCAACATTATAAATGCCGTAAAAATAAATATTCAATGCAAAAATTTTAGTATTTGACCATTTCTCAAATATTTCAAGAATTTCCATGATAATGAAGAACAATGATAATAGTTTGAAAATGATATTTCATGGAAGAATAAGTGATTATCCTTCTGTCCTGAAACTAACACCCGAATATTTTACTACAAGAATAAAACTAATAAGCAGCAATTTCTTTAGCACTGACTGTATTTTGCATCTTGAAAAGTTCCAAATTCAAAACCGCTTAAGTTTATGGCTGCAAAATAGATTTATTACAATCTACATTAATTGAACTGAAATCTTTGCTACAGGCAAAAAGCCAGGCCAGTCTGTACATGTTAATATTCTCACCAGACTTTTTCTGCCGGCTATATTTTATCTATAGCAAAGTATATATTTAAAAGGAAAACTAAACATAAATTCTTACCCATATTGGTGTTAGGACCAGCTAACATTGTTTTGATTTTCTCCAATTTAGTTACTTCTTTGTCAACTATTGTATCTTGTGTGTATCGTATGGGACTGGGTTTTGGCGGCTGAAAGGAGTTGTTTATTCTAATACCCATACCAGGAGCTGCCTTGTGATGACCTGGTCCGAGATTGGGACCTAAATAACATCAAATCAACATTAAAGCTTTAAACAGTGACTAATAAAAAGTTAATGAAATAATCTGCCTAGAAAAATAAAAAAAAATAAAAAGAGAGTTAAAATCTAACAGTAATTATGATAATACATTTGAAAAATTATTCATCACTATTGCCTCAATTCCATAGCTTAAGGTTAGATCATTTTCACACATTACATATACAGCAAACAACCTATTACATGGACCTATCTGAAAGCTTTGAAACATATGATACAGTGTATAAACATGTGTGTGTATATACATGTATGTATAATAAGAATATTTTACACTAGCAAATGTGTAACAAACTCAGATCACTTATAAGACAAGAGTTTAAATTTTACAGCAGTTAAGTCAGCAGTTCTTCCTTATTGACTACAATGTTTATACATTGTATGTGATATGCATAATAAAACAAGGTGTAAGGCATTAAAATAATGTTAACTAGAAATGTATCTATAGAACAAATATGCCCCCACATTTCCCTGTTAGGTCATTCTCCAGACATCATGACTGCAGAACAGACAGACATAAGGGCAAATATATATGCCCTCCCCCACCTCCATCTAAGTCAGTAAGTGGGGCATAAAAATCATAAGTAAATACTGTAGAACAAACCATATTTACCATTATAATGTATATTTGCATTTCTTGTCTGTCTATCATGATCTATCACAGCCTTTGCCGTAGACTGAATATCCTTCATGGACATTTTTATGTTTGCCATATCGATCATCAAGTCATCATCGCCATCATCCCAGGCATCCATCGTCTTGTTCTCGAAGTCTTGAAACGAGTCCCCCGTCCTTGCTGTTTTTGACTTGTCATCTTTCTTGGCAGCATTGCTAAAATTGATGGCAGAAATGAGAGCAAAGTTATCTTTTCTTGGATTTTTTTTCTTTAAGGAAGCATGCAGACTTTTTATACACTTCTATAACTGAAACTGCACAAAATTTTATTTTTGTTGATTTAATGTCACACCAACACAGTCTATGTTAACTTTTCAGCTTTACTGGTGGTGGAAGACCTCAGGTACCTTCTGTGCATTATTTCAGGCACAAATGGGCACCTGAGTAGAACCAAGACGTTCCATAAGCTAGCTGGATAGATTCCTCATATGGAAGTCCAAATTGCCTGTCAGGATTCGGACCCACAGCAGTGAGGGGCAAGTTGTTTGAAGTCAATGACCTTTATAAGCTTTAATGGTAAGGCCATCCTTAAAAAAATGTTTGTTTGCAGTAACGCGACCGACTCACAAAATTTGCCCCTACTCAAATTTTTTTTTCATGGTCTGGATAAAAAAATTTTTTTTTTGAATCAGAAAATTATGCCTTGTGCTTTGTTTTCGTTCTTTTAAAGGTTAATAGAAGAAATAAAATGTAGGTCTTATTAAATTAGAATTCAGTTATCAATTTATTAATTGATACCAGATTATCAAAGCATATATTGTCCAGCATTTTGAAATTCCATGTTTATTTGGAAGTACTCAGTTCAATAAAAAAAAAAATCGACCTATCTACCCACCTTGAAAATTCTGGGACGGGTTACTGCAAACAAACATTTTTTTAAGGATGGCCTAAAGAAAAAATTGACATCTCATAAAAATTAAACTTTTAATATGCTTCATAATAGAATCAATTAATTATATCATGAAATGGTCATTAAGTAGAACCTTACCTTACTCATTTTGAAAATATGCACTCAACCTAGGCATATATATGGTTAATTATAATTTGAATCGCCTTAAACATTCTGACAGACCTTGACCTTAATGTACTGTGTATAATAAGCAAACCCTGCTTTATATGAATATCAGTAAGTTGGCAAGTTGAAGGTATTTTACTATATATTTAAAGCAGTATGCCTCCAGAATTTTATTTTATTTTCGTTTCACAATCTGAAGGGGGTGTTGCTTTTAAAGCTGCTCTCACTCCATACTGGTGGCACAGGCCACTGGTAACAGGTCTATTATCTTCTACAAATTAACAAAAGTATTTGAAAAGTGTATGGCACTTGTGAGACTTACCTTAGAGGTTGGTGCATAGGAGGGTGTTGTGCTCCATAGACTGGTTTACCACTGTAAAATAATTCATTATATTATTTTAAAATTATAATAGACATTATTTCCCTGCTATACATTGTCGGTTATTTTAAACCTGTAACCTAATAACTGATTACTAGCGGTGAATAAATGTCCATAATCAATTGAATAATATTTGACATTACCGATGCACCATGCTATGTGGGATCATTTTCATTAGTAAATAGTAGTTCAAAATAAGCAATTAGCATATGTCAAAATAAAACTTGTCCAGGCCTACATGTACATGTAACTTCCTGTTTATTGTCAGTTTTCTGGAGTGGTTTTAGAGTTGTCCCAGAAGTTAGACTATAGGATTTGTAGAGTGTGTGTCATGTGACTAAAAGTTTGCAAATGTCATAAACATACACTGTAAATATCCTAAATATATACTGTAACATAAATGTGTACAGCTTATAGTTTTTTGAAAACATAGTTTTTAACCGATTCAGAGTGGAATTCATAATGGGTCAATGAGTTTGAAATGTCTTTTTAATATAGCTTCGAAATTTTAACATAAGTGACCTACATGCATTACAAGCATTCATATTATTGCATGCTATTTCTTTCTCTGTCAATACATTGTAAATAGAGGTATATATTCTTCTAATAAATAAATATATGTTACTATCTGATGGTACCTTTCTTATATATATGCTTTGCACATTAAATTACAAATTTCAACACTGTGTCACATGTTTGTTTATGAAATCATGATGAATTTGTTATCTCACCAAAACTTCACTTAAAACAGTATTAAATGAAAACATATGCCATCACCATCTCTCACATGTAATAAAATATACCCTGATTAAAGATTCTCTCTGTTTTCGAGAAAGATTTTACATTAAGTGTTCCAATATCCTTTTATTGAATTATGCTGAGCTCTGAGCAAGTGCCATATTTAAGTGGTTATTCAATTGACTGGATGAAATTCTTCCAGAGGTGAAGAAACAAAATGCATGTGTTTTATTTGTTAGAGAATTATGTGCAGATCTTGGCATGAAATGAAAGCACAAAACAGTGCCGAAAACCTGTTCCTCTCACATCCAAGGGAAGGGTACGCTGTTATCTATATGAAATAATGATATTTTAGCAAGTATTCTAAACATAATCAAAATAGTTGACATTAAGTCCCATGTTCAAGACAAGTTACCAGGTCATAATTCTATGCAAAAATATTGTGATGTATGATTTGAAAATAAAGTTAGCCATGCTGTATAAAAATGCGGATCAAGAAGGAAGCCACTTACTGACTTACTTAACCTTAACCAGAGACATAGATAACAGAGATAGGCAACTTCCTAGCCAGTTAAAATATCACGTGTGCCTGCTAAACTTTAAACTTGTAGCAAGTAAAACTTATTAACCAGATATCAAAATCAGTAAAATAATACATTTTCTGAAAGCTTATGCATTTGTCTATGGCTGCAGGTAAAAATATTTACAGTTACCATTTAAATAAATGTTACATCAATTTTTAAAGAGAACTACTTAATATTTTTTGTTACAAAACTATTCATATGACAAAAAACTGGCTCAGTGGGTACGTTCTGCCATGTTTTTCTAAGTGAAAGGCATGGAAAGTTACCAATATTTTATGGCAATCCGGTCAACTCGTCCTCTGGTCAACTCGTCCTCTGGTCAACTCGTCACCTTTTTGGTCAACTCGTCCCCTACTTTTGGTCAACTCGTCCTCAAAGAGTCAACTCGTCCCTAATATGGTCAACTCGTCCCCTACTTTCGATCAATTCGTCACTATTATATGTTTTAAATCAATGTCTTTAAATAGTTCTTTTATGTAAAATTAATAATGAATTTGATTGATATCGAAATATTAATAAAATAACGTCTTTTTACGTCAAATTTTAATGATCTTTTGTGCACGTGCATAGCTTTGATGTAAAACTACAAAGACAGGTAAGTTTGCAAACATTCAATTAATGTTTAATAAATCGGAGTTTTAAATGATAATTAAAACTAAAATTAGGTCCAACTCTTTGATTTTTACCGCCTCCCTAAATGGATTAAAGACTGACGACAGATTAACAGGAATTAGAAGTGCTAAAAACTTTATGTGGGTGCGTATTGATCTCATTATAGAAGGATCGTGTTAATTAAAAACATGATAATTATTTGTTGTAAAATTGTCAATATAAAATTTGCCCTGATAAATATAAGATTTATTCTTAAAATCTCATTTGCGTTGTACGTTATATCAACATTGGATTATTTTTTAAAGTGCATATTAATCATTTCTTAGAATTCCATATTGTTGGATTATATACTGCATGTGAACGGCGTATGTGACAATTTCCGTACAATAATATTTGCAGTGGATATTAACTGATTGAATGGAAACATGATTGAAAACATAAAGTAATTACCAAATATTTAATTGCCATCTAATAACTAGTAAAGATAAATTTTAAATTTCCATAAATAAATCTTTAAATTGATCTCAAAGAGGAGCTGAAAAAACTGAGTTCCAGAATTTCTTGTATGATACAAGTCAATATATTGAATGTATAAATTATATTTTATCATTACATATGAAACATGTTTTATACATTAAATGGTATTGCTATTGGTCGTATTCGTGTTTTTTTTCTGTATGTAATTTAATCAGAATTATGCACATATATACTTATTATTAGAAAAAAAGCTCCAAATATTCGCATACAAAAAGCGTCAAAATATGTCCAATTCAGTAATTTTATAATATATTATTTTAACAGTCTATAATAATTTATGAAATATATGAAAAACAGATAATAATAAAATATAGGGGACGAGTTGACTAGGGGACGAGTTTTCCAAGGGACGAGTTGACCAAAAAGGTGACGAGTTGACCAGAGGACGAGTTGACCAGAGGACGAGTTGACCCTGAATCATTTTATGCAGCCATAGATAAAAGATTTACCTTTCAAATGGTATATAATATTAAAGGATCAAATGTACATCCATTAAGTTTTATTTGCTACAAAATGCCTAATTTTTCACTTTTTGATAGGCATGAGTGATATTTCAATGGAGTATATAGGAGCTGCTTATCTCTGTTATCTATGTCTCTGCCTTAACTTAAGTGTCTGTGCCTTAATTGGATTACAGTAAACCTAAATTTATCTGAACAAGATTATCTAGCAAGACATTTCACCCCTCAAGACACTTCACCCCTCATCCATTTTTTCTATAAAGTAAATAAGTCAACAACATAATGCTTTTATATGTTTAATTTAATTATTTTTTAATAAGTGTCTGCAAAAATAGCCTAGGGTGAAGTGTCTGTTTCAGCTCTACCAGAAACTCCATATTATTAAATTTTTAGACTATTCTTCAATTTTCTTTAAATAGTGTTGAAAAAAAAATCAAATAGAATTTGATATTTTCAGATAATAAAAAAATATATATGATACAAAAAAAGAAAACATGAAATTTTATCAGATCATTTCCAGTTTTTTACCTTCCAGGTCCACTGCCCGATCTTTTCCAGAAACCTGACTTGCTGCTGTCTTTTACAGCATTCCCACTGACGGACATGATATTGATTTGCAAGTTGGAAAGTTATACCAAAGGTTATTCGAAACAGAAGTCTACATTTTGATATGCAAAATTAGTATTGTTGTCATAAATGGCGACTTCCTGTTACGATAGCCTTGACCCTTAGCTAAATAGCGCCAAGTGAATTAAACACCAAAAAGATGGTCGACGATAGTCGGGTATACAACATATGATTTTTAAAGCTGTCTGTACATGATAAAACATATGGCACATAAATTGTAAGAATACATAAACAGGCATATTAAGATAATACACATCAGTACCTAGCCTGAATATGGTTCTGGATTATTGTCTGTATATTATACTGTATGTACACAAGTAGACCAAGAACAAGAAGTAAAAAGAAAAAAGCCCTTTGGATCAAGATAGATTGCGGTAAGACCCCCAGTGGAATGTCAGACGTTTCACTCCCAAGACGTTTCACTATTGAGACGTTTCACTCCCAAGACGATTCACACCTAGACGTTTCACTCCCATTTTGTCAATTGTATGGACGTTTCACTCCCATTTTTTTGAGATGTTTACTAGGAAAGTTATCAAATTTTAATTTCATTAATATCAAACAGTGTAAAAAGGAAATTCAATTTAATGTTTCATTTTGTTGATTTCAATGATATTGTTAATAAGAATTATTAATTAGAATATTACTCATTTAATTATGGGTTGAGTGATAAGAGGTGTAAATGAAAGACAAATTTCTGAAATAACACTTTTATTATAAGTGTAACAACATGAGAAAATTCTATATCTAGTAAATTAAAAAGAAATAAAATAACATAGAAAGAATTACAAAGACATATATATTATAAGTATCAGTTTAAATATTGAAATCACTACCAGTAAAGTTATTAATATTATTCAAATAATAAAAAATAGCAATATATTAAATATTAACTATATATAATGATTATTGTAAGTCTTAAACAATGAAATGCGAAACATGTGTATAAAATATTTATTTTTTTTAATTGTTTTCTTCATCAATTTATTAAACAGTAGCCATTTGGGAGTGAAACGTCTTGGTGTGAACCGTCTTGGTGTGAACAATAGTGAAACGTCTGTCTACCCCCCCCCCCCCAGTGTAACATGCATACTCTACTCCATAAATTTGCTATGGCTTAAAACTTAAAATTTCTTAACAATCAACAAAATTATGGTGTTTTATTTTTGTTATCCTGACACAAAAATATTTGAATGCATGAAAACCCTAAAGAACAGACTCTACAAAAGGTGAATTATTATTGTACTTAAACTTTAAATATGAATGAAAGTTCATTTTATGACTGACTCTGTATTATCTGTCTTCCCTATCTTTGATGTAAGATATACGTACGTTCTCTTTTATTGATATTGTTATTGCATTTTATGTTATATTGATATTGCTGTGGATGAAGATACATCTTTTATGGAAAATAAATTGCCTAAAATATTTTATTTGACTGACTTTCACAATTTCTATTCTTATATCTCCAAATTGAGTGTACACTTTTTTCCGTATCCATGTCATAGCTGTAATTTTCATATGAATTGCCATTCTTCACTTCACAATGTAATGTGTTAATGTTTTACATATACAAAATGTATATTTGTATAAACCGATGCATCCTTCGGAGAGAAAAAATCAAGCATTTATTATGAGCTCTTTATTCCTGATATCCTCCCGCCCACTGCCTCGATTTTAACATTCTGAATCTGTTCTTCTTTTATCTTCCTTTAGACAACTTTTTAAAAAATTCTTGCGGTCTTTTGACGCGCAATGATGTCTACGTCCACTCGAGGGGTTGACATCATTGAGATAATGAGACTAGATTATAGAAAATGTTCAGCTTGGCACACTCAAAAAATATTAATACGTTTTGGGAATATTACTGATTTGCTTGTTTTCGTCATTTTTTCTGGGTCTTTTTATAATACACATGGTGAATTATGACCATTAATTGTAATTGCATCTTTTTTTGTTTTACTTTGCATTGAGAAAAACACTACTGACACTACTAAGGGTTACATTTATTGAGCTATTCTATAAGAATGAACTATGTTATGATATTTTGGAATTATTCTCTTTTTTTTAGAATTCAAACAACAACTGTTGCAGCAGATATATAGCAATGAATGTCACAACATATTTAGCGTTGTTTGTGCGAGCTTTGATAATACTTCGCTTTATTATTATTTCATGAAACGGGACTTTAGGGGAGGTCAGAAAAGTCACATTTTGGTATTATATTATAGCTGGGCCTTCGATGGTTTTTCAAACAGAATTTGAAAGTCGCTGACCAGACCTACTATAACCTATATCATGTTGTTATAGTCAAAGTTTACATCCACCATAAAGTGTATGACATGAAAATGTTTACACGGTAGATGTCCGCATATTCAAGGATGGAACATTTTAAAAGTGGGGAAACATTTAAGAACAATGAACGCCAGCCCGCATAGCTCAATCGGTTAGAGCGCGAGACTTTGTATGACATGAAAATGTTTACACGGTAGGTGTCCGCATATTCAAGGATGGAACATTTTAAAAGTGGGAAAACATTTAAGAACAATGAATTTGTAAAATATTGCATTAAAAAATGACATCCATACTTAGTTATTTATGATATTCTAAGCTATGAAAGAATTATATATAGATATGGATATCTCGGACAGAAAAATAAACAAAAACAAAAAACAAACAAACATCACCTTAAATAGTATGTCATAAATCCTTTTGAGAGATATTGTAAAGTTGTGATAATTTGTGTACAATTTGTGTAATACCCCACTGACACCGTTTATAATCTCGGCCTACAAATCGTCAGACCATAATTCTATTTTAAGTGTTTATGACTAGCATAACATCATGTACATGAACATATTCCTTTAAAACATGATATCTTTCTCTCTTTTTTATTTTATAAAATACTTTAAATTTAACAAACTGTGTAACAACAACAAATACTGATTTATAATGCCAAACATTATTTTTTGTATACATAATATATCGCATAAATAAAATCATGATTTAAACAAGTTCTGAAAAGGCAAGCGATTAAAACAAGGCAAATCATCATTGAAAATAATAGGTACAACTTCATTAAGTTTGTGTATGAGCTTAACTGACACAGTGTAGCACCGCCCATTAACAACGGTTTACACCGCACATTAGCACCGGTTTATGTATTGTTCAACAATCGAAACTACGAGTACTGGTTTCGATGTTCCAACATCACAATAGAGTTTGTTTCAACTTTAAAAACAGCCGCCAAACTATACTTAAACATAAGTCACAAAAGGTGTTGATAGAAAACCAATGCGTAGAATAGTCGACCAAGTGTTTCATTCTTGTTTGCCTTTATGTCACTCCCTTACATAAAATGGCAAAATATATTCACGTTTATTGAAAAACGATATCATCTATGTGTTTCAAAATGATACTGACAGCATCACTGTAGTATTTATAACTTTATGTATTTATTTATCCCTAATACATTAGTAAGTTATTTATATCTTTTGGTTTTGTTTTGCTCAGAACTGTCTGGTAACCAAAGGCTCCAATTAACAGACCAAGCGTGTCACCTTTTACCGTGTTTGGTGTTTGGCGATCATTTTAATTTCAATTTTGACTATTTTACATGATGTCATTATACCAGCTCTTAGTGCTTTGTATTTTAAGTAAATACAAACAAACATGAGTAAGTGGCCATGGACCCCGTTGCTCATACCGCTCATTGTGAGCCAGGACTAACCGCATTAGAAGTATAAATCATACTAGGCTGTTTTGATCGAGCAGTCTCCTGAAGATGTACATCGCCTGCCGTTATCTCTCTTTTCACCTGACCGTTGTCCGATTCTTTTTGTGCGGAACAGCCCGTGTTCGTGCTGACATATACCCGAAGCGTATGAATTGAAAAACACACCAAATGCATCAGAGGGATTCCAATAAATAAGGAAAGACAGGATAATGTAGCGGCAGTTCCGGTTTTACTCCAGTCTAGCACCGAGTAAATAGGGGCATAGCCGAGGGCGTGGTAGATTATAGAAAACAATAAATAGAAAAATCCATAGATCATTGGTTGGTAGAAGTGTAGAAGTTGTATAGGCTTCGCACAGAAAACCAAACTCAATAAAGTATAGATCGTATTGAGCAAATGTTTGTTGATACTTCCATGACTAAATTCTGCAAGTAAAAGAAAAAAAGGTAGGCATGATTGTGTAACTATGGTAACTGATGGTTGACAAAGAAATTGTTAAATTCCAGTTAGAAATTGAAATACATGTATATTCATGCATGTACAACAGTCAAATGAAAGCAAAGGAGTAACTTTTATCGTTTCAAATATCTATTTGCACTATCAATGTAATACTAAACGTGATATTTTTATTTTACGCAAAACAATCCAATATAATGGTTACCAAGGCAACTTATACATACTCGGTTCTAGAAGAGCATAGTATATGATGGTGACCATCAAAGATATGGCGTTGTTTATGTTGAAGAAAATCCAGGCGACTTTCATGTACCATTCTGTCCCTGTGGCCAATCCTATTCATTTAGTATATAAAATTATATATGCGCATGTGTAACATTATACATGTATACGAAGATGCATGCAAACAATAGATTTTACCTTTAAAATAGCTAGATAATAAACTTTTGAGTTTTAAGTTATTACTTTATAAAACGTGATTAATAAAGTACAAGAACAAGCAAAACGAGAAGAAAATCAAAAACCCTCTTCCATTCACGTGCACGCTGATCATGCAAAATGAACTGCTGAACAAAAAGTGTTAAAAATAAGTTCATTCGAAGACCACCAATACAATCTTTTTAGTGCAAAGTAATTAGCCAATTCGATATTGTTTATTATTACAATAATATTTTAATTAGAATTGATTGACGCGTAAAGTAACTAAACTAATTCCTTCCTAAGACGAGTGTAATCCTATTTTATCGTGGGAACGGTATTATTTAAAAGTTATTGACAACATGGTGTGAACCACTCGGTCGTTGTATACGATATATACGGCAACGGGAGCGGTGGATTAGTGGTAAAGATTTTTGCGGCTCAACACAGGGATCATTGGTTCGAGCCCTACTTGGATCACGACCATGTTTCCTCATATGACACCAGTACAGGTTAGTTCCAGGAAGCCAACTCGAAACTGATAAAAATAACTTGCAAGAACTTGTTTCACTATCGATTTGAAAAAAAAGAACTAAAATAACTATACGGTAGTGATGACGAAATATCTGCAGTGGAACCCGATGGTGGGCGTGACTCGAGTTTTTACTAAATACTGATTATTTCCATTTATAGTGACGTAAATAATTCATAATTATGCAGACAATGCTTGCTAATAATATTGTTAATCTCACAAAAGTCGTGACAGGGAGAAAAACGATTTTTGTCGACAAGCCTATTCACGTTTTGTCCTTATGAAGGCTTGTCATATTCAAAGTCAACTTAGCAAAACAAATGGTATTGTATTGATATTTCCTTAAGTCCTAAATCCTTGTTGTTTGTCTAGAATTTTGAGCTTCAGATTACAGGCGACCTTTGTTGGATTTCAATATTACGCAAAGATAATGTTGCTAATCTTTTCTTTATGGTTATGTCAATTTAATGACTCTTCCAAACTTCGTTCTGTTTTGTTCAGTAGAGAAAACATTGACAATGTCAAAAATCATATACATTGTGTTTATATAGATAATTATAACTGCTTTTTGTAGAAAGAATGCTCAGTTAAATGGAGAGAACAGAATAGTTTCTTAATCAATCTTTAAAAGAGCTTCACTAAAGTTAAAAAGCTTAAAACATAAGCTCTTACATATATATCATTTTGGGCACTTAGAAACAGAAAACTTGGAGAAAAGAAATGATAAAGAAGTACAATGTATACTAATTAAATTGAAAATTTAGTGCAACTCTTAGCCTTATTCGAGTTATAAGCTTTAAACCCTTTTCATTTAGGTTCTTTTGCACAGTAAAAAAATCTTCTGAGAAAAAGAGAAAGCGATAGAACTGAATTTTGCGCGCAAGTTATTGGTATTGTATGGTATAAAAATCTCAAGATAAAATTTCCAGTCTTGTCATGTGAAAAAAAAATCTCAGTGGAGTTTCTTTAAGATTATACTCGTACTCATATCGTACTATGAGCGCTTTTTAGCACTCATTTTTTTCTTTTTAAAATCATTTGTTTAGAAGATCTGAAGATACAAATAAATTTGTCATAATTTGATTACATTGATCTGAAATATTCCTTTTATGTATTTAGTTACTATGATTTGAATTTTTTTACATGTATATCATGATTGAAAAATAGAAGAGAGAAAAAAACAGATTATATACTCCATCGTATCACTTACCGTCTCTTATATCTTTACGTTTTGTATGTGTAAATACAGTCACTCCGAAGTCAATGAACACGTGCGCTGCTTGAATTAAGTACGACCAGTTGGTTAAATAGATGAAATATTCCCCATCCAGGCCAAGATTGTAATGAATATCTAAACATAGCATAACTGTGTAGAATAACATCCAAAACACAACCCAGAATATATAAAATTTTGGTCTGAACCACTGAAATACAGAAGAAGAAAAATTTTGTCATTAATATATTATACAAGTAAAACATTTCCCCGCTGGATGGCCGGTTTTTGGTGGCCCTGCGTGACTGAACATTGTCTCGAGGACTGCGTTCCATGAACGTCGCTCTGCCGTGGTGATATTTTGTATTCCTATTCTATTATTTGTGATAGTGTTAATTACCATGACTTTATTCAGTAATATTTCATTTAACTTGTTACTTTATGGTTTATATAAATTCTGCCTTAACTAGAGTGTTGTTAGAAATATATAATACAAATGTATATCGCAGCTTTCTAGTAAAGATCAAATCTTATCTATTTTGTGATGTGTCACTTTACCTGAAAAGGTAGCTATATCGATATTAATACAAAGTAGTGCAATATCAATTTATGTTTTTACGCTCAAATATTTATAATGTAACAAGCATTAGCTTATTGTATAACGGACATTTGCAAAAATACCCAAGATTCAAATGTTATGAATGGTGTTTGATATATTATTACATGAAGAAATATTACGAATTATTTTGCTTCCCCTCCCTAGCACCGGCTTTATAGTGGCTTCAAATTTTAAAAATTTGCATGATCCGAGTAAATATGTAAATGCACGAGAAAGACTATTTATTTACATGTCTCTACATGTATATGTTTCATAAGCAATACAATTATCATTTATTTATATTTATATTATATTTACCTGAGATTTAACAAATAGAGATGGGTTTTCATGATGAAGTCCAAATCTTTTTGCTCTAAATTCTTCTCGCAATTCCTTACATCCGCCACAATCCTTCATTGTTAAGTTTCTGTTATCATGAAATAATATGTAAAAGTAGTAATAAACTCAGTACGGTGGTGAAAAACTTCCTTTAAAATATTGCATTTCCTTTTAAATTTGCGTTCCAGTTTTCACACCTTTTATGTCAGTATGCGAGAGGTACAAATGCAAAGTTACCTAATAAGCTTTAAGTGCATTATTCCAATAAGCAAATATTGCGAGATACACACGACTAGCACGTTTTATTTATATAAAATTCTAAAGATCACTTCTAGATATGTTGACAAACGTTTTGGAGGATGTGAAGTAAATGAACCTGAATCAGGTAACAATATATTACTCCTTCATAGAGACCACATATCTAACACTTCTGAATTGTTCCAGATTTAGTATTGTTATTGATATGAAATAACTCCTACTCAAACAGCTAGGCACAATGTCTCTTGCCACCTTACAGATTGGTGCAATAAACTAATTAAATACGAACGCCACCATATATGCAAACAGGTCATAAACTATAGACATCGCCTTTTTACATTTCACTTTACAAAATCACTTGTATAATAATTTACAATATTTTCATAGTGTTTTATTGCTCTATAGATTTATTTAGGGAGCGTACTATATATATATATATATATAAATATATATAAAGTCCAGGGTTTATTCTAATCGGATTTGCAAATCTCTAATTACAAATGTGTCGGTATTAACTCGTTTAATTTGTCTTCTTATTTAAAGGTGCAGTAGTATGCAAATAATGAAACACACGGTTATTGACCTCTGCAGCGTTGTAGAAAAAATAAATGTTGAAAGTAAAGCTGGTAAAAATATAAATGAGTCCAAAGATAAGATTCATAGTTGAAAGTTGTGGCATTAGTCTCCTTTTGCCTCTTTCTTATAAAGAATATGCCATTCAATGTCGTTGTTTATACAAAAAATGTATGCTAAAGATTAAACTTTTCATTTATAACTGATAATATACGATGCCAATTTGACAGGTGTCAATGTTGTTGTTGGGTTTTTTTCAGTTCCATTCATCCACAAAAAATATTAGAGTATCAATGGTACAAAAGTTCTAAAAGAAATAAATACTGTTTAGCAGCTATATCTAGATAAATGTGGTCAAACTATTAACCCTTGAACGCGTCAAGTTAGAAGAAAAGAAAAGAAAAAAGATAAAACAGTGCTTTAGCATTTGTAAGAAAAAACTTTAGCACCGGCCTGTCGAATAGATGTCTGAAAATAAATTAACATGTTTATCGTCTGCGCCAAAAAAGTACATCTGTATCGAGTGACCGAATTTTTATAAGGTATATTGTATTTATAATTAGTACATTTGTATATTCTTAAATTGGCATACATTTGTCTCAGATGATATCAGCTGAAAATAAATATTTGAGACTTTAATAAGTAAAATAGCTTTGCACACAATTTTGTGGTCGATTCATTGGCTGTAGGTTACGAGAACCTTCCTGCGCACCGTTCACTCAGTTTTAAGTATCAGTAGTGTATTCAATTAGATGCTATACATGTGTAGGGGAGCGTTTGTTACAAGTAAATGCACACCATATAAGTTCAACGCTTATTATGAAATTCTGACAGTTTATAAACAAGAACCAGATATAAATGAAAAAAAAATCGAACTTAAAATGAAACAGAAAACAAAAAAGGAAAAACATACGTTTTTAGGTAACATTAAAGAGTATTTAAATCTTACGAAGTTTATAAATCCCATCTTCTTTAAATGAATTCCCTTAAAATTATGAAATCCAGTATTCGTATGTTTGTAAGAACAGAATTATAATCATCAGTTTTGATATGGTACCCCAGGTACTCGATATGTACTACCAAATATTAAGCGTTATTCCTATGTATTTGTTGTTGTTTCTTGCTATAGTAGATTAGAGAATAATTGATTTACTCTCGACATAAGAGAGAGTAAATGAAATATGATATGCATAATGTTTTATATCATTGCTACTATACATGTATGCATGTATAAAATAGATATAAATAGAGTGTTTTGTTATAAAATGTCATTAACGTATGGACATTCGTGTTGATAAATGTTTGATCATCTAAACTAGCAAATTCTTAAATCTTCATACATTTTATAAGTATTATGTCGCAACGTTATTTCTTGAATAATCCGTCAACTTGAAAATCGTTCATCTTAAACACGTGTAGGACATTTTGCTAATGAGTTTAAAATAGAAATACCACTTTTCTCTATTTTGTTTGAACAATGATGCGAGGCATTTTCTTTAACTTAGCACCATGTATAGTTTCAATTTGGGTACCATATTTAGTTGTAATTGGTTTAAATATGAATTCTCAAATAATATCAAAATGTCAATAGAATTTATACGATCTATTAATGTTGCAACTTGCATAAAGTCCAAGTGGTTGTGAACAAAATACATGTAAAACAGTTACTTTGGTACAATGATTCAAATGGAAAATTTCTTATTTGATGATTTTTTTCTGCGTTTAACGGTTTGCGCATTTACATGTATATATGTCAAGCGCATGAGTACTGCGTACTGCATTAAATCCTTAAAAATAACTTCTTCAAATTAAATGCCCAGTGTGACTTGGAGTAAATGTTTAGAGTGGTCGTTTTTAAACATTTTTAAAAGATAATGGTTAGAAACATTACAATAAAATTGGAAACATAAACCTTATTAAATACTTTATAGGTTTGACATTTACTCTTAATTAAATATGACATTAACTTTGCCAAACTTTTTCAATTTTATATTTACTTTTCAAATATATTTTAAATATGGAATTAACAGAACCAAACACTTTTATATAAGAAATTAACACATCCTAATACTTTTAAGATATGGCAATAATTTTTCGAAACAATTTTTAAATATGAAATTAACTTATTTAAACATTTTTTAGATATCAGTTTAACTTATCAAAAAATCAAATATGAGATTCCACTTTTTCAAATATCTTATTCATGAAATTAACATAACCAAACACTTTTTATATATGAAATTAAAATCTCCTTACTCTTTATAGATATGACATTAAGTTACCCAAAACTTTTTTAAATATGACAATAACTTTTCCAAACACATTTTTAATATGATGCAAACACATTAACTGAACCAACACTTATAACATATGACATCAACTTACTCAAAAACGTTTTTAATGACATTGACTTATCCAAACGCGTTTTAGATATGAAATTAACTGAAACAAACACTTTGACTATATAACATATCCAAACAATTGATCAAGGCATTTTGGGACTAAGACTCGGCTGTGGAATTTACTTCTGATTATTGCATTCGTCTTCCTCGTATCCTGTTATTTCTCCTTTTATATTGAATAATACAACACTGTAATTAGCAGCATCAATTTGTAATCAACAACAACAACAAAACATTTTACTTAATATTTTAACTAGACCTAACATACACAACAATACATAAATAAACAACAACATATGTAGATTTAAAAAAGGAAACACAAACAAAAAATAATAAGATCAATGAGACATGTATATTAGTCCCTTATACGGTTCTATGATCTGGTACATCGAGTAGAAAAAATTGAGATTGGTAGAGTACGGACTGGTATGTAAATAACACAAAACACTTCACTAGTCTGTTATTTATACACAAGTTAAACAAATAATAACAATAATATGTCCATGTGGTCGTTCCTTTCAAAATTGCTTTTTATTTTGGGCAAACACATTCTTTTATTTGGGGACCATACACACCATTTCATGAAATGGTACTTTAACGTGTCTTATTGAATATTTCATGACTACCGCCATATGAACACATCTACGATTGAAAAAAAACAACATTTTATTTTAAAGTCGGTGCTAGGGGCGTGGACAGTAGCTTGCAATTAACACTTACATCCATGAATTAACAAGATCAATCAAACCAAGCCTGCAACATTTTCAGTTTTGCAGTTTTTGGCGTTCTTTAGATAATCTTTTTTTTTCTTCTTTACTTTAGCGGATTGTTTACAGTAGAAATGTTTTTTTTAAATACAGCGTTGTCTCATGAATGCATATAGTTACCGAGATGCTGACAAAGGTCAGCTTCCAATGTGTCAAGTCCAATTTAGTTTTGATGTTTGCACTTCCGTTATCATTCATCATTATCTGTTTTAATAGTTTAATTTAAATGGTTAATAACAGTATGATTGAAAATCTAGTTTCCCTTGTCAGTGCCATGATGTCTAAATTTCGATTATTTTGGTTTCCAAAGGAAAGTTTATATAATTTCATCCCACCGGATAATAAAAATAAGACAATAAATGATGTGTAATGCTTAATTTGGCTGAGTCTGTTCTCTATTCTAGAGCTGTATTTGATAATGAAACGCATTCATGTTGCACAATTTAGCATTAATTATCTTGGGAGAACAAATAATTTACTTTTATTGGCTTTCAACAGCTTCATTAAAAGCATTGGTCAATTTTAACTGAAGAAATGATTTTCCGTCCTGCACACTTTGTATTGCTCGAAAAGTTTCATGTACGGCATGGATTTGTATTGACGGCGAATCACATATGTCTATTCATAAAAGAAAATAATTTTTCTCCACGTTTTCTTTATGCAATGAAAAGAAATTAATATGAGTGAGCTATTCTTATCATTGTCGTTGATTTTCTAGAGTTGTTTCCACATTCTGTCTGTGGTACATGTATAATGAATAAAGTATTTTTTTATTTAAACGTCGCAAACGTCACGTAACGCTACCAAAAAAAAAATTTTACTCTTAGCTTTTCTTTATGTGTGCATTCTTAAAATCAAACATTTTGGCCAAATGAACATTTAAATCATTTATAGAAATATTATCTAAACAAAAAAAGGTATGTATTTTCATTCGATATCTAGTCAACATATTGCGAAATTTAATTTCATAACTGCAAATTTAGACACTGAAAAACGTAATACATGTACTATGTCATGTAATTAGTTTAAATTTATTTATTTTAGCTATATAGACCCTTTCATTAAAGACCTTATTCAAGTTGTCGCCCTTCGATGACGTCATTGGGGGATACGTTGGACAATGCCGATACGATTAAGTACAATTATAGAGGGATAAATGAATTTTAATCCTTTCTCTTTTAAGATTGGCAGATTGAAATTGCCAAAATTTTGTGTAATTGAATAAGATATTACATAAAAAGAATGGTGAAATGAATTAATATGTTTACTATATATATAATATGGTTAACGATATGTTTTAATTTAACTTGTTAATACCAGAGATATAGATAATGTATGTATGTCTCCTAATATACAATACCCAAAAGATATTTTGAGTTTCAAAATTGTAAGGATTCTGAATTTTCGAAAAACGGCTGCGTAATAATTAATTGCAAGATACAAGTATATTAAAAATCATTTTGATTTAACCATTACTAAGAAAAGAAAACAATATAAATCTATGTAATTTCAAAAAAGATGTAAAGGCATAAAAAGTAAAAATTCTTTTGAATGTACATGACTGTATACTATTTGTGTCGGCAAAAAATGCACTCTCAAAAGATCGTACATCACACCAATTTATTTAAGCTGGTAAAGTAATATTTTCAACTCGATTCATACTCTGCTTATCAAATAT